CAATTCTTTAATCCAGCTGGGAGATTAATAGTTTGTTTTACAGGTGGCAAATTCTAACCAGAATTGTCTTTTATCTTGTAGTAAATCAGAAATTATGGTAAGATAATCAACACACATAACAATATATGAAATTCAACTAAAATATAAGGGTAGTTCAGGGGCTGAACTGACCATATGTGGATGGGTGGTTTCCAAGGAGAGATTGCTACAATTAAAAAAAACAAACAAACAAACAAAACCCCAACACACCCTCAAACGCTTCCTTCTACCAGCACATTTTTCATGCTGATTTCAGCCCATCATTTCTTGTGAGCTGATTTAATCAGAGGATGATGGATGGATCAAACTTTGTTATGTGCTGACACTATCTAGCAAAGGAAAAGGGTTCAGCTTGCACGCTGTGAAACATCTGGTCGGCAAGTCCACTTTCAGTACTCCTTTTCCTTAAGGAAAGCTTGGAAGCTGTAGAGTAAATAGGCTGCTCGCAGTGTTCTTCAGGGATCCTTCAGCTTCCTCCTTGGAGAAGGGTGACATTAACTGTTGTATTTACCTGTGTGATCTTAAAGATCAGAGCAAGGCAAAACATTATGCCAACACTATTGGCATTACAGAGCAAGAACCTTCATCACCTGCATTTAGCATTAGTTGAACGTACATTCTCAGGTCAAACCCCTTTCAATACAAGCTAGGAAGTGAGGAGCTGTCTAGTGAAAGACTACTTGTGACAGATACTACTGTCACACTGAAGAGAAAGTATAGCAGATTAGAAATACCACCAGTAACACATAACCTTAAGTAGGAATATGCTCAAGGTTTACAGCTGCCTTCCTACACTGGTCATCTACAACAACAGTGCCAAGCTTTTTATCCAATGCAGATGATACAGACTGACAAATCTGAGAGTGGGGACAGAGGGAGAAGAAAGTCTGTTTTCTTAAGGAAGAGGCTGACAATTTCAAGCAAAATTCCTGCAAGAGGTATGTTTTTCAGGAGTTAGTTGGATACTTCTCATTGGGGTGTCTCTCATTTAACAAACAAAGCAACATGGATAGAAAGATATGCACAGAAAGCTGTTTTGTAATTGAAGCCTGCTGGTGTACTCTTAAGAATTGCAGCATATTAGCCACTTGATTCAGACCTGTGAAAGACCAAGCTGAAAGATCCTTTTAGCCTCAGACATGGAGGGGTGGGACACAGACAGACAACACAAACCACACCTCTCCCAATCAGCCAAGCCCTCAAGATAAAGGGACCCATTTACAGCTGTGGCCTTTCACAGTTTTCTGTCTTGATCCCCTTCTGGCAATACCCAAGGCAGTTTACAGGTGTGTGCAAGCTGTCAATTCCACCTCTGCATAATCCTTCCTGAGGCCAGGATAAAAGATCTCACATGATCTAGACTTGCTCTTATTCGGGATCCAATAGTTCACAAGACACGGTTTCTCAAGCAGATATATCCTTCAGCTCTTTCCCAAAGAAATTCAATATTCCTACAGTTACTTCACATTCTCAGAATCTGAAGATTAGTGAGGATGTTAGAGAAAATACAGAGGAGAAATGCAGTACTCAAGAAGAGTAGATCCTTCTTATCCATTCTCCTGATGATAAAATTATAAGAGGAAAGATAATTTCCCAGAAGATTAACTGGGGAAGATTAACATTACTGACCAGAAGGGCTACTTCACAGACAAAGAAATATATAGACAGACAATATTGTGTCCTTGCAAGACCATAGTCTCCACTTCCAACAGCTCCTTCAAAATCACCTAAGACTGGGAAGAACTTAGGGAACTCATCTTAGTGCAAAGGTCCAAAGGTTTATGGTCTTCATGCAGCTTTGGCCATGAAGGCAGCTCAGGTCCTTTGCATGGTTCTAGCTCAACGCTGTAAGTGAAAGGTATGGAAGAAAAAGTAAAGATTGGGTAACAGCAGTACTACTTTTGAGCCTTTCTGATTCTGAGAGTCCTCAAGGTTGGGACAGCTTCACTGGAAGTGCACTTAATTGTCAACTTCTAGTTGATTCAAGGCACAACACCGAATCTACTGGAACACAGTGAAGCAAACTTCCTCATGACAACTTCGTAGGTGATCCATCCATCAAGTCCTTTCAGTTCAAAGAAACTCTCCCCCATATTTGGGTACTCAGAACAAGTGAGGTTATGCTTTGCCTAATTAGAATCCACAACCCTTTGAAAGGAGTAATATAGACATACAGCATGTGTTCAAGCCATAATGACGTTGACAACAAATAGCAAGTTGTACACATCCTGGTGACAAAAGATTCTTGAAGCGTATTAGATGCCAATCACAAACTGAACAGGTTTTAAGAGTGACCATGAGCAAGAGTATAATGAAAATTCTAGCTCCAAAACATTTGATCTAATTAACACAAAAATAAGTTAGCTCAAAAGCATTGTTATAATGCCTGACATTTTTCCCCTCTCAAAACTGATATACTTGCCAAGTAAAAATTTTGAGCTAATGTTTTTCATGTAGTGGGTAAAATTTTTAAAAATATTAAAAAAAAAAGCTTTTTTCAGTGTTATGACAGCTGCATGTGAAATATGCTCTCAGTATTATAAAATGATCACAAATTTTCTGTTCTAGACATAAAAAAGCACCTAACAATCTTTGCAACAACACGCAGATATTTTTACTCAAAGTTATTTTCCACAGAAAAACTGTTAAGTTGGCAGATCGACTGCTAAAGCAAATCGTATCTATTCCACTCAAGTTACACAGGACTTGAGAAGACTCATGTGAACTAAATACGAGCCATTTTATGCAATTTCTTTGTTTGAATTGGGTCCCAACTATGCAAGATAACCTTTACTTGCTTTTTACTCAGAAATAAAGGCATCTAAGTATCTGTCAATGAAATGAGAACAAAATCTTAAATACTTAAAATTTCATAATGTCAGGTAAGACTTGGGTTTTTCCTTTGTCTGTAAGAGAATATCTGAGAATATGGGTATGCCAGTACCCCATCTTTATCTTTGACATCTCTCCTATAAATTGAGCACTGCAAAATTGACACATGACCTGTCACAACTATATCCATAGGAGAATTCTCTATTCCTGAGAAGTTTAACAGATTGAAAGCTAAAAGAAGAAAATATTTAAGTGAATTCTACAGTAAGTGTAGCAAGAAACTAAAATAATTGTTCTCAGCAGACATAATTAACTTGATATACGCACTTCAATGGCAGCTGTCAAGTTCAAATTGACAAGTTAGCAGATTTACTCAATCTGGTTACGTACGGTTTCTTGATTTTGGTTGCAATTGAGAAGGTTACTGTGCACTTGACAGCATTTAAAAAGAAGCCATACCATGTCCTAGCAGAAAGTGGAGCTCTGAGAACTTAGGGTACTCTGTGGCTTCGCATTCTGGTGTTAAATAGATATTTGAGTTTTGCTAGCGGTACTACTTATAGATGTTCCACTGTTCTTGTGAGGCCACAAGTTTTACTTGCATAAAAAAAAAAATCTTTCTAGAAATGAGTGGGTATATGTATAACATTTTGGGTGCGATGTTCTGGAAAGTAAGAGATAAGCAATGCATTTTGACTTCTCACATAAACTATTAATAAATACAAGAAGAAAAACATTTTACTGCATTAAATATGTTCACCAAGCTGCTGTAACTGGGTATTTCTACAATTTAATATTCTATAGCAAGAGCTATAAACAACTGTTTTATTTGCTTATTGAAAGGAGTCTTAAATCTGAGGCTGCTGTTACTAAAGCCTGATTTTGGAAGAGGCCTGAAACAGCTTGATAAACTTAGTCTGACTTGAGAAATACTACGGAAATCAACATCTGACCTCCACAGTCTCTAAAAATAGGCATCTTTTTTCAACTGAAGAAATTTCCTCCATTTAAAATCTTGCTTACCTGCTTGAAACCACACTTTAATATTTCATATTGGCTGCACATAGCCAAAGAATGGATAAAGAATGGAAAGTCAATCCTGTGCTTTCAGCCTTGTAGTTGCAGCATTTTTTATTCATAAATTCAATCACCTGACTTTATCTTCAAAAAACTTTTTCCCAGTTGCCACACTAAGCAGCCAGTGGGCAAATACAGAAAGGTCAACAGTTGCTTTTCCAATTGCTATTTTCCTTGCTATGAACACATAGTGAGGAGAGTTATGTTTATTTCCAAAAATTGACCTTCAGTCACCAAGACATCTTCAGGAACGCAAGGGACATAAAGGAAGTGGGTGAACTGTCATTTATTTTGTCTTTCTGTGGGGTGATAAATTTCAGTGGTTGCCTGCCCTCTATCAGACTACTAAATGTTTTTTTAGAGGAGACAAAATATTATTTAAATGAAGTGCTATCTTTTTTGTATCTTTTTACTGAAGACCAAAAAATACTGTGAATTTGATTTCCGGCCAGATCTCTTATTTGTTTTTGAAAGAAATTCTGATCATCTTCCAAAATTAAGACAGAACCTAGCTATCAGCTTCCAAGATTTATTGCTTTCTTTGTATAACTGCTAGAAAATAATTAGCAAGATACACATGGCAATACAAACAATACAGTCTGTATTTTCTTCATTTTGATTGGCACCACAACCAGTATCAAACATCCAGGTCTTGTGAAAATGAAAGTTGAGAACCCAGCTGAGTTGTCTTTAGTGTAATAGTTAGTAAGCGCACTGAATTTCATACAAAGTAAGACATTTCACAAACATAAGATCTCTTTAGAGTGCTGTAATTACACCTGTAGAGAAACACTAAAGCAAAAGCAGCATGCTACTACTGAAAACCACTAAAATAAAAAATGCAAATATTACTGAAGTGGAAAGGCATGGCAGTAAAAAGTCAAATGCCTGATTCACAAGACTTAACAATTACAAGGCAACTAAGAAAATTACGACCTTTGTTCTTTCACAGCCAGTTTTTCAGAAGAGTCAAAATAAAAAATTGCTTTTGAATAACTGTGCAACTAAAACCACAATACTATTTTTCAACAAAGACATGATACCACACTTACCAACTGGACTGGTACCAGCTCCATTTGGCACTGTGAGGTCAGTTGTCCCCAGCATTCCACCTAATAAAAATAAGCCAGAGCATTAAACAAATTTGCTTTCGTTATAGTACCATATCGTTTTGCACTTCAAAACTTAAGCCATTAAAAAAAAAAATGCACCAATACCATTAAGAACTTGTTACTTGCTTGTTTGATTGTGTTTAGTTTTGTTTAGGTTTTTTTAATTAAAAAAAATAAAAAGAGTGTAAGAGGAAAGCACAATAGTGCTGAAATCTTACCTGCATTGCCAGTACTTGGCGGTCTCTGAGGGGCCCCAGGTGATACGTTCCGATGCAGGGTGGTCTGAGGTGGGGAGAGCATGGTCGTGTCCGTTAATGATGAACTGGCTGCCAGTGATGGGGATACAAGGGAACTCCCTGGGTTACTGTAGGTTAAAGTGTTGGGATTGGACACTGGAACTGTAACCGACATCGAGAAGTTCTGAGCAGGCAACCCAGGCTGGAGGAAAGACGACAAGGAACACACAGAAGACAACAGCATTAGCATTAACTATGTTTGCAGAAATAACACGTTGTAAATTCACACATTAAAGTTTGCCAAGAATTACTCAGGTTTAAAAAAAAAGTTAATTATGTTAGTTTTTAAACTGTATTAAGCATACAATTTCAAAACATCCATTTGCTGTAGAGTATGGTGTTGAACTTAATATATCATATAAATACAGTTCCAAAAGAATTACTCAAACTTCTAAAATACTAAAAGTTCAAATACAAAAAATTGAAGATATTCATATGAACTCGCAGGCTTGGAAATACAACAAATTTATCAGTTAATTTTGGATTATTACAAAGCAATGAAAAACTAAACATGTCTACAAATCAATGAACTGTTGCATCTTCAAAACGGCAGCATAAACATGCACATTACAAAATAAAGTCAGTTATTACACAAAAAAGAAAAAGTTAGTAATAACATTTTCTACTAATAACCTTGCAAAAATATTGCTAGTAATCTCTAAAAATACTTTTTCAACAGACTGAAAAAAGTAAACAGATCTTTAGAATTTCACTCAGTTCAGTAATTTGAATTTAAACATTTCAATTGTCATTATTCGGAGCTGTGTTCCACAAAACCCCACTTGAATAACCATTCCATCTTTCTTTTTTGCAAATCTCATTTTTAAAAATTCTAATTTTTACAGCATTATTTAAAAGGCAACTATTTTTTCTGAAGTATATATGTTTGTTATTCAACAACTATTTGAATCAAAAGCTTAGATGCCTGCCCATCTATGGTACTCCTTTGGTTATGACTAACTTCTTTGGCCTTTGTCTCATTCCTATCCTTTGACAGTGATGAGTTTCTGAAACAAAAAGGGACTATTTTCTTTCACAACTCTCATAATTACTGGAAACAAAACCATGACAGGTACAATTTAAGGGTAAAAATTCAGTAGCATTTGTTGACAGAATGGAGAGATACTACTTTTGATTTAGAAGTCACATGCAGATGACAAACATTCATGACCTAGCAAGTATACTTAAAAAAAGATGCACTTTTGTCAAGTGCAGCTTAAAATTTACTTAGAATGATACTTCTGTACAACAATTTTGATACTATTAGAAATACAACAATAACTATACTAATTAAAACAGCATAATACATTTTCTATGAGAAATAAAATCTCTTACTAGTGAGAGCCAATGCCAGTGTTCCTACTGAAGCTTTCCTAAGAATAATTATCAATGTTTGGCACAGACGAAAGGAAAAAGTAATGAAGCATAGCGACGTAATGCTAGCAAATCTTTCACGGTATCTAACCAGTGACAGGTGTACTGGTATTTGTAACTCAAACTAAACCTGAAATACCTGAAGTATACTTGAAACAACACTAGAAGCTAACAGCTGGAACATTTTTTCCTGTAGGTTTCTCAATACAGAACTAATAAATGACAACTTCCCCCCACAGCTTACAATAAAGCCTGCCTCTGCCCATCTATGGTACTCATTTGCTTATGACCGAATTCTGCACGCTTTGCCTCACTCCTATCCTTTGACAGTAATGAGTGCACTAGAACAAAAGAAACTGTTCTTATACAGACCCATAAATAATGGCAGTAGAACCATAACAGGTCCAGTTTAAGCTACAAATACATATACATATAAATATAGCTATAGAGTTAAAAAATAATGTTGCCGGTTTTATTTACACTGATGTCCACACAGACAGTTTAGGCCGTTCATGAAGACCACAGAAAATCAAGGGAGAGCAATTTAGCTGTATCATACTGGGAGATGAGACTTGAAGAAGATGTCTCAACACAGAAACGTTGGGTATCAAAAGCTTCAAAACAAAGCAGGAATAAAAGATATTGGCTTCATTCCATTATACAAAACTTGCTAAAAAGGAGTGATGCTGCATGTTGCGACTGGCAGTTTGCTGTTAAGTCCCCAGAGATGGCCTTATTGCTCTGAACAATGAAATAATTTCTACTATCAGCAAGTCATTTGGGGACACACTACTCAATTACCCCAGGGTCTGTGCTGGTTAACCTAGCCAGTCCACTTCCTTTAATTGCTACAAGATTTGCAATATTAAAAAATTCAAAGGTCGCAGCAGGGCCCTGTATTAGTGTTCTTAAAAAAGACTTCCCCTGTAGTACTCAACACTAATTGGCTTTTGTAGATGGAAATTAAATGTCATCATGTACATCTCCGTGAAAAACACTCAAGATTTACACTACTGTTATCCCCAAATTTCTTGAGTTCTAGAGCCCGATAATTCTCTTCCAAGAGTCCTTCTAAATCATCTTTTTTGCCCTAGACCCCAAAATTGAAGGTAATATGTGAAATTGAGGAGAACATGAACCATCTGCCCAGTCAATATATGGGGTTCAGGCAATGATAATTTCATTTTTTAATTAGATAACACTAAAATGAAAAATGATACTCTGACCACACTACAGAATAGGAGATCATAACTTTCCAAAGCAATTAAATGACTTATGGCTGCAAATGTGTTAGGTACTTTGGACAAAATTTTCCAAAGATCTTTCAGTGCCCAAGGAAGTACCTGCTGAAATTTTAATAGGAGTAAGACACCAATCTTTTGAGGGTCCCACAGTGCACCAATCTTTATATTAACATCTAAATACCTTTCCATGTCCAGTCTTCAGCAAAATAAAATTCCACTGATTTGATGACAAAATTAATCCAATTCTATTTGTCTGCTTGTCACATATTATAAGATTTTGATTAACAGACAGATAAGATGCAAATACGCTATCCTACATCCCACACCAAAATCTATCTTTATAAAAATATTTTAGGTAGGATTAGGCAATTCAGCTAGGCTCCTGAAATCTAGAAATGTTAACTCATGTTCACAAGGTATTAAAACTGAGTGCAAAAGAGAAGCTAGAGATAAATCTTATTCTTTAAGGTACAATGTATTTTAACAAGATCAAGTATCAGCTTCTCATTTTTCCTCAAAAACATATATTCCCTTCTCAAACCATTACATCCTCTTGCCTTTGCAGTGGTTTTCAGTGGTAAGCAAACACCGTGAAAATTCTCATGCATGTAATAGAAGCACAAACCATACTTTAGTACTCACTGCGATTTTATGATTCCGCATCATATTATCAAACTCTTCATTAATTTTTTTATATTTTTCTTCTGTATGTGGCGTGAGCACATATGAAGTATCAGGGTCCGGGCTGTCGCACCCTCTGTGTTCCTTCTTGTTCAGAGCCTAAATAATGAAGTTAATAAAAAGGATCAACAAATAAAAAGTAGAGATAAAATAAAAGTACTTACAGGGCCTCGCTTGAAAATAAAATCACTATCTTCATTTAGTTTGCTGAATCTGTCCTCCGATAGTGGACTGTGCTCAAAGTAATCGTCAGCATCAGGGCTCTCACAACCATTAAGGCCTTTCTTTCTTAAGGTCTGAAATACAATTGGAAAATTCACATACAAATCATACTAACTTGCCAAGAAGTTTTGTATACTACTGAATCATTCAGAGCCACTGAAACTACATGAAACTTTCACAGACAAAACTCACTGTTCAACAGACAGGCTTAGTCTTTCAAAATAGTGGCATAGTACACAAACAGAAAAGGTTCATTCAGAGGCACAGACTCTCCCAGGTGCCATCTCATGGCTAACTTTAACCTACACCCACTTCATCTCTCCAGTGTTCCATGCAAAACCATTTTTAGATACAGGCTGATGGAGTAAAGTTGCCTGACATATACGGAACATTCAAGCCTATGACAAAGGAGTTAATGTCATCACTGGTAATTAAAAACCAGTTTACTGGATCTTTAATAAATTGATTTTAACATCCCAATTTTAATATTCACATTTTAAAGAGCACACAGTTAAACTCTGAGAAACACAGTGGCCAAAATTTTCAATCAAATTCAACAACTGTATTATATTACATACATGTAACCCTTGGTCTCAGTAGGTTATAAAGGCAGGATCATCCTGCCTGATAACAAGAACTGCAAAAAATTATAGAAAGAAATTACATAGTTCCTCTCTAAGATGACTTAGTTTGAGAAATATACGTTTTTTCAGACTCCTTTAGACTAACTTGATGCAACTGTTTTAATGGGCTACTTCCTGTTTTCTGATGGAGAACTCACATCAACATCCCCTGGGGAAAAAAAAAAAAGAAAAAAACCAAAAAAAACCCCAAAAAACCCACACAACTTGTCTACAATCTAGGCATTACAAACAAGCTACTGAAAGAAAAGATGTGAAACTACAGGTCTTGTGACCAAATTTTAAAAGATATTTGTGTTCATTGTTGTTTTTCTTTTTTCCTCCCCTATTACACAATCAGAAATCTTTCTTTGCAAGTTCTCATTTATAATAAACCAAGATTTAAAATGCTATGTATGGAAAGTCTTTAATATTTTAAGAGTTTCAAAAGGAAAGCCATACAACTTTTTAAACAAGTACACATTATCAGTACATAAGGGGAGTTATACGTTTTCTTTTTGTGAGAAATTATCTATATGCGATGAAGTCTGCACACTGATGTTCTCAACACCAGAAAGAGATTGCATGTGTTTTCCTATAGAAGCTATGTTTCCATAACACACTGACTTTCTGATTAAAAAAAATTAAAACAACTATGTTTTAGACTATAGCATTCATAAGCATTTTTTCTTAAAGTGCTATCTACTAATTTTTAATACAATAGAAAGCATGCGAAATTCTCCCACTATTCATAAATATGCAAAATACTGCCTACTTCTACTTCAGTTTTAAAGCAGTACTTGAAAATTCAATTACGCTGTCTGAAATTCTTTAATATCACAGGTCACCATAAGCTATAATTCCTTCTCAAGTTTCTTGGCTTGCTCCGCATATCCCACACAGTATCTGGAACTCCCACAAAAATGTAATCACTAAATCAGCATATGGGGAAAACAGGTGTAGGTTCCTCCAGCACCTGTCACAGCACTGATCCTGCTCCCCTAACCAATCAGCTGGACACGTATAGGGACTTGGCCATACAAGGGCCGGCTGTTCAGCCTCTCAAGGTCGAAGCCTGTTATCCCTCTCCCAGCCCTTCCTAACAAGTCAGCTTGCCAGTCTTCTACACTTTGATATCAGCAGGGAAAATGTTAACACTGCATAATCTGGATTACACTTAACCCCTGCAACCCACAGAACTCTGAAAATAGAATCCAAATGTATCTTTACATGGTGCTTAGCGTCAGCATGCATACGCAGTGCCCAAGGCACAATTAGAAGCTGCATTTAGATACTATAAAGAAAGATCTCACAAGAAATACACATACTGTCTAGTTTACCTCCTTTGATAAAAAGGTTTGAGCAATTTTACGTACTGCAGCATGGGAGTCTCATTAGTGCTCCTTCCAATATTCTAAAACAATCAAGTGAATGCTTTTAAGCATAATGCTGCCAAATTATACTCAAAGTTCTGATATAAAGGAAGAGATTTAGTTAAATATAAAAATGCATCCTTCCTCTCAGTGACTGGTTATTTTTATTTTTGATAACAATGGGGTTAATTCTGCTTTGACTCATGAGGAAGGAAAATGCCTCAGTATCTCCCCTTTAAGATTCTGGAAACCTTCACTCCAGATGGGGTTCCTGTCATTGTGGAAGGATTTAAGCCACGGTTCACTGTTACAGATAATAAGTCTGGGTCTGATATCCAAAGCTCTGTCTCCTTATCACTAAAACACGAACTGCCACTTTGAGGACCTAACCATAAAAAGACTGCCAACTTTATCATTGCCCAGTAACATAATAGTAAAACATTTCTGCTCTGTGGCTCATACTAACAAGTGGAATGCTGTAATCTGTTCACACGGCCAGGCGAAGCCTACGCGATACAGCCCAGCCTCAGCTTTCTCACAGGCTACAGAGTGAGACATGATAACAGGCCCTTGCTCAAGGGAAAACAAGGCAGGCCACGACCGCTGGGAATTGCTCTGCTGGGGATGCAGGAAAGCCACACTCCATAAACAACTCCAAAATTCCAGCCTCGAGATTCTCTATAGCTAAATTTTTTTATTTCTCCAATTAATATAAATAACTTGTCCTTCTTGAGCTATTTCCAAGATATTATCATGGAGATTGAAATGTTATTAATTCTGAAGATAGGAGGGGGGTGAGAAATAAATACCAATTAGTGAGACCAAATAGTATTTGTGTAACTTGAAGAGAGTTTTATTTCTCTGCTGTGATACACAAGCTTGTTTAAAATAAAATTAGAGTTTTTGCAGTTGAGATAAATATAGAGCATAAGTTTTCTTACTACAACAAGAGAGGAAAAAGAACATTATATTTCAAGGTTTGCTATTGGATGCTCACCGCATTACCTTCTGGTGTTAAGTCTTATTTTCCAGATCATCTAAGAGAATGTGTAGCCTTTTGAGTTAATCTGTATTACTTTCCACTTCCTCTAAGACTTAGCGAAAATTACTGGAAATTGTTCCAACATGTTTGCCAACATACTGCATTGTACCTGAGATTGTGCAGCTTTGATATTAGACTGGATTAACTAACTGATGAGGGAAAGGTACTGATTTTTGTCAGAAAATAATGCCAGGAACCAAGGCAGGTACAAAATCTTTTTTCAAAAGAATCAAGCAAATGCAATAATATAGTTCTGTTAAATACAACATTGCTACACAAGTGTTCCAGACAGCTGTGGTCATCCTGATATTGCAGAATGACCCAGAAGTTTTCAAATGCTTTTGTTCCACTGTGTAAAACTGAAATACACAAATATTATGACTATTAGTTTAATATTGGTTTGGGGGTTGTTTGTTTGTTTTTTGTTGGTTTTTTTTGAATGCCAGAGCTTAGAAAGTGCTGTATGAGAATGGCTGGACTAGCTATGGCAGGTTTAAACATTACATTCAATAACATGGTACGAGAGCCTCAATATTTTCCTGAACCTCTCCACACATATGCAAAGTACTTTTTAATTGCACCGCATTTTGCTAATTTAACAAAAGAATCGTGCCTTGGCAAGAAGCACCTAAAGAACTTTGTGAGAAGGGCTTCTTGCAAAATAACAACAAAAAATAATTAGTTTCTCTCTATGATTCAACATAAATTTTACCGAAACCGATAATACAGATACCAAAGAGTACAAAAATACAATAACATTATCCATCGCATGATCCATGAGGAAGCAAAGATGATATTCAGCCACCACAGTGTAATTATCTTAGCATAAGCTTCCTTCTACAAAACCCAACAGAGAAACATGAAATACAGGAGCTTTAACCCTGCTGAGTCTCCACAGCGTGATATCAAGTCACTACCTTCTCCAAGACTTGTTCCAGCCCAGCTACACGCAGCTTCTCTCACACACTTAACATTGGTCATCAGCAGTTCTGGAAACCAGAAACTCTGAACTAATAAACACATATTACTGCTACCAGCGATGAAGTGACAACCCCCAACTGTCCTCCTCCCCATGAAAGATCCTGTTTTTCACATCTGACTCCGAAAGGACACGTTGCTAACGGTTAAAAAAAAAAAAGCAAAATCAGCATGTTTTGTGTTCCAATTCAGTGAGTGCGGTTAAAAAGCCAAGACTTCTGATATTCGTGATCTGGGCTCCTTACCAGGTCTGGCAAAACTGTAGAGAACTTGATGTTCATTGTCACCTCAGGAAGTAATATTTTTCTGCCTTAAAGCAAGAAAGTAGGATGACCTCATATGTAAATAGTGTTATGAAGTGCAAAAAAGTGTCAGTTCATTCAAAATATTTTCAGTGTTGGGTTTCTTGTAATATTACACAAAAAGGAAATGGTTGTTGCTATCAATGCTACTATGTATCATGTTAACAGCTCTATTTTTGCACTTACTATTGGAGCTGGCCAAACAGGATTTTTGTTGTTTGATCCCAAATTATGAGGAAAAACATTTCCAACATTTGACTAAGATTGAAAAAAAAAAATTGAAAGTCAGAGCACAGAAAAAGCTGTGAAGCAGCAGAAATTTTACACTAACTCATGTTTGCTTGAGCCTGCAAGAAGTCATACTTTCTTCACTAAAATGACCATCCTTTATCTAACTTATTTTTGCTGGGTTCATTTTCAGTTTTAGCAAGAATAAATTGGTTTACTGATGTATGGGCTGAGCACCACAGGTACAACGCAGGCAGAAGGAATGGCCTGTCCTTTCTGGCTGCAGTAAACCATTGCCTCAGTCACCACTGATAATCACATCCTACATAAAAGCCACAGCTTTTTTCTGAGAAATTCACAAAAAGCAGAACAAATACAAAAGTCACAGCATCAGACTCCCATCCATTTTCATTCTTATTATGTTAAACATCAGTGAGAGAAAAAGGGGCAGCATCTTTTAATGCAGTTCAGCTTCCTTCCCACAGCAGATAGAGACTTCAGCTGGCAAGACCAACTGCATGTATCACTACA